TTTATACAAATTCTACAAGTTCTATTCTACCAATTTGTCCAAACTGCTTTATTACAAATTCTACAAATTCTATTCTACCAATTCTTCAACTTTCTATTCTACCAATTCTTCAACTTTCAACTGGTAACAAAATTCTAAAAATTCTATAAATTCTTCTAATTCCATAGTTACCAGTTTGTGCCCTAATTAAAAAAATGAAGAAGAACAACAACAAAACATATTTACCAGTCGACGCAACGTATTGAGCACTTCAGAAACGTCTACATCAACGACCATCTTCATTCTTGTGGCTTAGTTTTTTGAACAAAAGCGTGACTTCAACACTTTTTCATTTATTATTTTTGTTTCTCTTTCAATCATCCCTAAAAACTCTTTCATGGCTAAAATTCTTTGAATTTGTTTATAATAAGTTAGGAAATAAGATGTGTTAGTTATTAATTCACTATAACCATAAAAATGTTTTATACATGTTAAATGATGCATTTTTTCGTTTTTGTTAGATGTCTTAGTGATAAATTGAAAAACACATAAAAACATAAAAATATTTAAAAAAGGCTTTGTTCCCCTAAATAGCAATCAGTGCATTTTAGCACCACCTTATAACACTTTTTTACTTTGAGAATATATGAAATGTTTGCGATGTGAAGGCATAAATGTAAAAAAAAGCTGATGTATATACTTATAAGAATTAAAGATATAATGAGTGGCATAAAAAAAAGTAAGAGCATCCGCATTGGAGACATTTTGTATGTGTTTTTAAATATAAAATTATAAAAAATTGAGTAAAAGGAAGAAAGAGAGTGTTTTTMMTWGYAAWYTTGGAGTGTYTTMAAATATAAAATTAATAAAAGTTGAGTAAAAGGATGAAAGAGAAGGTATAAAGTTGAGTAAAAAGAAGAGAGAGTGTGTTTTTAATATTTTTTTATTTAGAGACATCCACATTTAGTCTCCAATGTGGATTGTCTAAGATCTTGAGGATTGGTCTCATCAACATAATATTTCATCTCTTCTTAATTTTTATCATAGTACGCAAATTTTATGAAAATTGATTACCCCCTCAATATTTTATAATGATAACATTTTTAACTTGGTGACGATATCTCAAGAGGACTGAGTAATGAAATTCTATAAAAGCTATAATATCTTTTGGTTAGAAACTAAAAATATAATAGATATCGTAATAATATTATGTGTTTCAAACTATATTTTACATTATTTGGTTTCGTATTGCTTATAATAAAATTATAAAATCAAATGTATATACATATAAACTAAAAAACAAACATTTTTGTTATAAATATTTGCGTGTAGCGCAGGTAGTCATTTGATCTAATTAAAAATATAATGAATAGATTTTTTTAAATGAATAAAAAAAATTTGATAAAACTTGAAAAGTTAATTTTCAAAAATACCACACTTTGAAGTTTAGTTCCAAAATTACCACTATTTTTACTAGTTCCAAAAATACCACAAAACTGAAATTAACTTTTAACATTCAAAACTAATCATAAATCCTAAACTCAAACTCTACCCCCAAAAATTATATCATAATTTTACATTAGTTAACTCAAAACCAAAAATTTAAATTAAAAATCCTTCAAAATCAATTTTTGTGTTTGTGGTATTTTTAATTTTTAATTTTTTTAAATAGTGATATGTTTGAAATTTTTTTAAAATAATGAATTGTTCGTCGTATTTTAAGAAATTTCTCAGTAAATTTTTCATGACCCACTAACATTAGTGGGTCTTCGTATTAGAAGGCCCAATTTAACTGACAAAATGAATTACTGAAACATACAACAACAACACGATTCCCAAAAACGTC